CACGCAGGGGGGGCCAATCCTGGAGGACAGTGAGCCCCGACGGGTGGGTGTCCCTTGCAGGGAGTAACGTGCACCCTTTTGGGGATGGGGGAGATGCTCAGTCCTTGTGGGGGGGGTTATTCCCAGCAGGGGTACGGACCCCCTCACCCATCTCTCCAGATACTGGGGTCGGCCCTGCTCTGGGGGAATGCTTGGTGCAGAGACCCCTGCCATCATGGGGGATAACCCCAATGGAGCGGGGGTCTGGCACCCCCGGCCTGGGCACAAAGGGGTCCTTGTTGGCAGGGCAGCCGCATCCCTGGGGGCAGGAGGGGCAGGTAAAAGGCACAAAGCTGAGCCTGGCCAGTCCCAGCTGAAATAATTAAACCAATTAAGAACAAACAGAAACAACGCAGAAGGCAGAGCTGCCCCCTCCGAGGAAGTGGGGGCTGCAGCTGGAGTCCCACCCACTCCACCCCCTGCCCGACCTGGCCTGCCATGTGCTGAGTTTGTCTGGTCTCTGCAGCAGCCCTGGCATGCGGTGAGTTTGCCGGGTCGCTGCGGCGAGGGGGTAAGGTGGGGGGGCGGTTTAAAAGCTGTGATGTCTTATTTAAGTGCAAGGCAGTGCATTCCTCGCCCTGCCAGAGAGGGATGGCCTCCTCCGGTCATCGCATACTGCTGAATGGTGGTGGCTGGGGGCTTAAATGAATGTATATATATATATTAAAAAAAAGGGGGGTTCCTAAGGCAGGCTGGAGGCGAGGCGGAGAGGAGTGGGCAGCTTTCCTTCCCCTCCGACTTTGGGCTGCTGCGAAGCGGGCCGGCGTTTCTGCTGTGCTCCCTGAGCAGTGCAATTATTTGATCTGCAGATGTAAGAGGAATTTATTGTAACAACAAATATAGTGATGTCAAAACCCAACCTTGGATTAAAGCCGGCAGCCAAAGGGGAAGTGTATTAATTTCAAACAGCATCAGAGGCCGGTGCCTATTAGGACGAGCTATTCTTCAGACCCCCCCATCAGAATTAATCATTGGGAGTTAATTTGAAGCTCAGACAAGTTGCTGTTAATTTAGTGCAGGGAGGACGGGATGGAATAAAAAGCTGAGGTGCTGGCCGGGCCTCCTGGGTCTCATTAATCAGCGAGCTGAGACGGCCTGGCTTGATTACAATTTGCAAAAAAATTCATTAGAGCCTGGGCGATTGACAATTTTTCTCTCTGCCTGTGATCTGACTCATTAGGCAGCCAAATGAAAGCCATGATGATGGTGATGATGACAGCTATCAACCCCCTCGCTTGTTTATCTCCTTCTCCTCCGGCCCCGGCCCGGGGCTCCCCCCTCCAGCCCCAAAGCCCCGCTCCTGGGGGTGGGGGGCAATGGGGGACCCCAACCCACGGAGCAAATAACTTTCCTGCGCCTGGGGCAGATGCTGGCTTGTAGAGGGAGGGCTGCCCCGGGGGGGGGACAGGGGTGAAGAGCAGCTGCTCCTCCCTAAAATACAACCCCCCATAGGGGGGGGGTACAGCCGGGCCGCGGGTGTCCCTTGCAGGGAGTAACGTGCACCCTTTTGGGGATGGGGGAGATGCTCAGTCCTTGTGGGGGGGGTTATTCCCAGCAGGGGTACGGACCCCCTCACCCATCTCTCCAGATACTGGGGTCGGCCCTGCTCTGGGGGAATGCTTGGTGCAGAGACCCCTGCCATCATGGGGGATAACCCCAATGGAGCGGGGGTCTGGCACCCCCGGCCTGGGCACAAAGGGGTCCTTGTTGGCAGGGCAGCCGCATCCCTGGGGGCAGGAGGGGCAGGTAAAAGGCACAAAGCTGAGCCTGGCCAGTCCCAGCTGAAATAATTAAACCAATTAAGAACAAACAGAAACAACGCAGAAGGCAGAGCTGCCCCCTCCGAGGAAGTGGGGGCTGCAGCTGGAGTCCCACCCACTCCACCCCCTGCCCGACCTGGCCTGCCATGTGCTGAGTTTGTCTGGTCTCTGCAGCAGCCCTGGCATGCGGTGAGTTTGCCGGGTCGCTGCGGCGAGGGGGTAAGGTGGGGGGGCGGTTTAAAAGCTGTGATGTCTTATTTAAGTGCAAGGCAGTGCATTCCTCGCCCTGCCAGAGAGGGATGGCCTCCTCCGGTCATCGCATACTGCTGAATGGTGGTGGCTGGGGGCTTAAATGAATGTATATATATATATTAAAAAAAAGGGGGGTTCCTAAGGCAGGCTGGAGGCGAGGCGGAGAGGAGTGGGCAGCTTTCCTTCCCCTCCGACTTTGGGCTGCTGCGAAGCGGGCCGGCGTTTCTGCTGTGCTCCCTGAGCAGTGCAATTATTTGATCTGCAGATGTAAGAGGAATTTATTGTAACAACAAATATAGTGATGTCAAAACCCAACCTTGGATTAAAGCCGGCAGCCAAAGGGGAAGTGTATTAATTTCAAACAGCATCAGAGGCCGGTGCCTATTAGGACGAGCTATTCTTCAGACCCCCCCATCAGAATTAATCATTGGGAGTTAATTTGAAGCTCAGACAAGTTGCTGTTAATTTAGTGCAGGGAGGACGGGATGGAATAAAAAGCTGAGGTGCTGGCCGGGCCTCCTGGGTCTCATTAATCAGCGAGCTGAGACGGCCTGGCTTGATTACAATTTGCAAAAAAATTCATTAGAGCCTGGGCGATTGACAATTTTTCTCTCTGCCTGTGATCTGACTCATTAGGCAGCCAAATGAAAGCCATGATGATGGTGATGATGACAGCTATCAACCCCCTCGCTTGTTTATCTCCTTCTCCTCCGGCCCCGGCCCGGGGCTCCCCCCTCCAGCCCCAAAGCCCCGCTCCTGGGGGTGGGGGGCAATGGGGGACCCCAACCCACGGAGCAAATAACTTTCCTGCGCCTGGGGCAGATGCTGGCTTGTAGAGGGAGGGCTGCCCCGGGGGGGGGACAGGGGTGAAGAGCAGCTGCTCCTCCCTAAAATACAACCCCCCATAGGGGGGGGGTACAGCCGGGCTGCTGCTCGCCCGAGCCGGCTCCGGGTTGCTGTGCTTTCCAAGCAGCATCCCCTTTGCACCAAAAGCAAACCAAAATAAATTAAAATAATTAAAAAAAAAAAAAAAATTTAAAAAGCGCCCTCCGAAGATAAGACG